CTGTCGCGGCGCGGCAGCATGCGGAACCACCACGCGGCCAAGCCTCACCGCCGCTCGGTGGAGACGGGGCCTGGTGCCACGGAGGGCGTTACGGTGGGTTAGCCCCAGCCGAGTGGCGCGGGGGCTGGGCCGCACCCTCTGACCTCACCGGACCCACCTCAGTTCATTTTTAAGCCCATTCACTGGTGCTGCGCCCTCAGGCGCGAGTCGTCTACTGCCCCTGCGACCCTGTTGCCCTGCCGCACACGCACCCCATGTCACCTTCAACCTCGCGCCTGCACGCACGTGCGTACATGCGCAAGTGTACGCAAGCACCCTCCCACCAATACACACATACACACACACACACTCACATGCACATGCGCCCGTGCGCGCGCCAGACCCCTCTGCTGTCTGCGACCTCGGCCCCCCTCGTGACCGGCGAGGACCTGTTCATCGCCAATAGGATCAACGCCCAAGACCAAGCCCTGAGGCAGCAGCTGGCGCTGGGCCCGGACTGCCCCTTCGTGCCGCACAAGCCGGAAGACGGCCGCGGCGCCGCGTCGACGGCCGCCGCCGACGCGGCCGCGGCGGCAGCCGCAGCGGCGGCGGCCGCGCAGGCGGAGGAGGCGCAGGCCGGGCTGCAGGACGCGCCGAGTGTGGGGGACCTGGCGGGGCTGAGCGGCGGCAGCGGCAGCGAGGGCTCGGGGAAGCCGCGCGCCGGCGGCGAGGTGGAGGAGGCGGCCGCGGCCCCGCTGCTGTTGCCGCTGGTGGTGGTGTGCCAAGACAGTGAGTCGCAGGCGAATCACGCGCCCTTGACCAGGAGGCGGGGGCCCGCCCGGGCCTGGCCCCCCGGCGCCCTGCGGAGGGCATGCCGGGGTCGGCGGCGCTACCCGACGCTGCTCGCCCCACCCCGCCCCCTCACCTTCCCAAAATGCCGGTTGTACTGATGCAAACGTCAAGTGGACGTCCTCACCGGCGCTCTTGGACGACCTTCATACACACATTGTGTGACCGGCCGCATCACCTCGGCCTTGATTTCTGTCATGCATGCGATGCATCGCAGTGTATACGTGTTTTCACACTCTGCACCCCCACCACCACCCCGCCAGACGCCAAGGCACCCCCAAGGAACCCCAGCGCCTTTGACTCCTTCAGCCTCGCCCCCCACCCCGCCCCGCGCCCGGGCCCCGGCGGCGCCCCGCCCGGGCTGTCGCACGGGGAGCCGCCGCCCGACACTGGCGGG